CCCCCCCCAAAAAAAAAAAAAAAAAAAACCACCACCAACCTCAAGGTGAATTTCCACAATAATATCTTTAGGCCCATAAAAGTGAAGCTGTGAGAATTAAGGCCCAGAAATATCTCACTTGATCTATCAATTTTTTCTTCTCCTATTGGTTAAAGACACTCCCCATTTCTGGAAGAAATTGTTAATAATACTTTCAAATTCTATCTTCCTCTTTTTACTCCTTGTGTATAGATTATCTGATAGAGAACTTCCATCTCTCAGCATACACACCCAAAAAGGTATTCCCCCCTCAACATCAATTACTTGTTAGGATCACTCACTTCCGGCTATCTAAGTTGGTTACAAAGGAGTCCACATTACAACTTATACGGTAACATTACTGTCCCAACTCTCTATTTGCTAAACACATTTACAATTTGAGGTATATCATTCTCTATCTCTACCAATAAGAAAAGTTCACTATACCTTCTTTCCATCAAGTGTAATGTTATAAAAAAAAATATCCTTTTTACAAAATTCAACAGTGCTACTTGCACATGTTCAAAGCAGTCTCCCAATGTTTTGCAGTGTAGGAAAACATCATTTCCCTTCTCTTTCATTCATATTTGTAGCCATTTTATGCACAATAAGTTCTACAGTTAACAGTTAAGTAGTCTTCAATAGAATATTTTGTATGAGTCTGCGTTATCTACATATGCTTATTGTGCATATACTCATGCTCAATTAGGACTCCAAGGAGGTTTTACACCTTAGAAACAATGATCTACGATAAAGCGCTATCAAATGCAGCCTGCTATCAAACTAACCCTCCACTAAGACTATATCCGTCAAACAAACAGCCAAGGATCTAAAACAAACAAGGTCAACAAAATCAAACAAATTAAGGACTAGACATAAATCCCAAAATCAACCATGTGTGGTGGTTAACTTAACCTATCGGCAAACATAAATTAGTTAGGAAGCAGATAAAAAAAAAAGGTTATAAAACTAAATATCATAAATCCAATATCGGAATAATAATAATAACAACATTAATGCATTGAAAACGTTTTCATGGGAAAGTAGTCTGCTACAGAATAATATTAAAGGAAAGAGTGCGAGAAGATGACCTAATAACCACATTCAGTGTCAAAAACTCACCCACATAATCACCCATGAAGAGATAATTAGTGTCAGGAGCATTCCCTCCTATCCGAAACAGTTCGACGAGATCATAAAACTGGCCATGAATATCCCCACATACGGTCACGGGGCACTTCACCGGCTGGACGTTCCATTCCTCCACCAATATCGTCCTCGCGTGATCACAAAGCGTCTTAACCTCAGCCTCCGACAGCGGCTTACACTCCATCAGATGCTCGATCTGACGGTCCAGATCCGCGTGAGACGGCATCGTGTTTGCGAACTCTTCAGATCCGCAATTACAGATCGAAGATTGCGACGGGAGGCGATCGAGAAGCTACCGATCTCTCCACGCTCCGGGAGAGAGAGAGAGAGAAAGAGAGCGAGAAAGAGAGAGAGAGAGAGAGAGAGAGAGAGAGAGAGAGAGAGATAGAATCCCTCGCTTTCTCAATCGGATTGCAAGAGCATGAGAATCAATCAATGGCAGGAAATTGGTAAGGTAGGTTAGAAACAGGGGGAATCGAGGAAGAAGAAAGGTTGAAGTTCAAAAGGTGGGGATCATCATCATCATCATCAGCTACAGCTCGTTTTCTGGGGAAATTTCATGAAATGGAAATGGAAATGGTATTTATGTGAAAAGTGGGATTTGCCAAAATGAAACTCGAATGCAAATGAAATGCGTCATAACCACCATTCAACCTTCATTCCTTTTCTTCTTTTTTCTTTTTTCTTTATTATTATTATTATTAGGCTAAATTAATATATTTCTCTAATTAAATTCAATAAAACTTTTACTTTTAAAGAATTTTTTTAAAAAAATACTTTTAAATTTTAAAATATTACAAAATTATAATAATTTTCATAAAAAAATGTTTAAAAATTTTATATACCGACCAAAACTGTCTATCTACGCCTTGTAATGGTAAATAGTTTTCAAACTTTTTTTTCTTTAATATTTAACTATATTAATATTATTTTTGAAAGTTCATTATATTTGAAATATAATATTAATAGTTCAATTCGAGTATTTTTCAATCATTAAAAAAAATTAAGTTTATTTTTTAAGATTTTTTTAACAATAAGAATATTAATGAAATTTTGTATTAGAATAATTTAAGGGTTTATTAAAATTTTTGAACTATATTTTTATTAATATATCTATTTTTTCTCCTTAAATCTCATATTCGCACTTTGATTATAAAAAAAAAAGTTTGATTAATAAAAAAATAATGAAAAAGATAAATATTAAAATAATTTAATATTAAATTTTATAATTTAATAGCATCTACGTGAAAAAATTAGAAAATATATATGACATCATTTAAATTTACAACATCATATACATTTATTTACGTGACGATTAATGTATAAAAATATTATAAAAATAATTTTAAGGATAATATATGCGAATTTTAGCATAACAATACTCGTTCGGACCGATATAATTAACAAGAAATTAGAAATTTGAACTAAAATAAATATTTAATTTTAAAGTTAAAAAGAGAGAAAATTCAGATTTTTTTTTTCCTTTTTTTTTTGGAGCAGAAAAGGAAATTTCAGATTACATTTATTATATATTATTATTTTTATTTTTAATGATTGTCCGCTGGTCAAAGAGTGGAATATGGAAAGTAGGGATAAATTTTATTTTCCCGGTTTGTCCGCTGAGTCAAAAGCAAATAAGATCATGCCACGTGTCCAATAGACGTTCAATTGGACAACTTTTCGTGATCCCGCTGCGAACATTAGCAAAGTTCCAAATATAATGTTTTGCAATTTTATTTTTAACTTCGTTCCATCCATTTTCTCCCTTAATTTTTAATTTAACTTTTAAAAAATATACCTTTTAGACTTTATATTTTAATTTAAAAAAATATCTTTTAACTTTTAAATTTTTTGTTTAAAAAATATTTAGTATTTAAAAAATATTTTTAAAATATCTATAAAATGCCTTCGATTTTTTAATTTTTTTTATTAATATCTTTCTGTTTTTTTAAAAAATTTAAATAATATTTTTACTCTAAATATTATCTTTAAAAAATATCTATAAAATTAAAAAAAAAAATGGGAACACCCTTAACTTTAATAAATAAATAAATTTAATTTTTTTTAGGAATAGATTTAAAAAATTCATGAGTATTTTGAAAATGTGTAAAAAAAAAAATAAATAAAAATTAGTATAAAGGATATTAATTAAACGAAACTATAAAAGTATTTTTTTTATTTGAATGTTTATCGTTATTTTAGAAACAAGTATTAACCATATCCGTCCAAAACTAATGTTAAAAGTATATTTTTTAATTTTTTTAAAGTTTAAAAATATTTGTATTAATTTAACTTAAATTTTATTTATTTAATTTTTGAAATTGACTACTAATTTTAAAAATTAAAAAATTAAAAACGTTGCATGTGTAATTATTATATTATAATTTTAATTTTTAAAATTAAAAATAATAATGTTAGAAGTATTTATATGACACGATGATCCAACTAACTCGGACTATCTACCTCAAACCATACAAGTTGGATTAGACTAGATTTTTTTTTTTTTTAATTGAATTGAATTTTTAGAAAATCGAAAATTGGATTTGATCCGGGGGTTTATATCTTTTGGTCAGGTCCGATTGACCCGAAATTAGAGTTACAATTCAATTCAACGTTACCCTATTTTTTTAAAAAAAATTAAGAATATTTGACATTTGTAACCGATTTTAGTAATGTATTGTCGGTGGTAAATATTTGATATTTAAATTTTATGAAAATTTAATTACTAATGTAATTTTTTAAATAATTAATAAAATAAGAAGAACTTGACAACGTAGGATGTGAACTCTATTCGGGTTATTCGGGTCACCAACCCAATCGTGTACCTTCCTTAATAAAATTATTAAACTAGAAGTATTATATATATATATATATATATATATCATCCAAGAGGAGAGTGCCTTCCTTTGAATCTAAACTAAGTGATAATACTCGTTTACTACGGTTGATTGTTAACCATGTTGCGTACGGGCTAAAAGTGAAGTTGAGTCGACTAGACAAGTTGCACACACAGGTCGAGCTGCATGCATGTTTGTTGGGCTTGCGTTGTTGGAGTTTGGTCGTGGACTTGGTGCACGTTGCATCGAGTTGGCTCAATGAGAAAGCCTTCCTTTCGTCTCCGGGTGACTGAGAGAACAAAGATCAAGATCCACCTTTGCTAATGTTTTTGTGCGTAAATAAAACGTTTTTTTAAAGTATTTTAATCAATCGAGTTATATTCGTATTTAATGATAAAGTTTGAACTTTTTGTGGTCATAAAAAATTTTATAAGGTTATTTTATTTGTTTTATTTTATTTCAATGTGTCACGGTCTTCTGCTCAGTCATATTTGTCCAAAGCGTATTGTTTATAGTTGCATGTCGGATGTCCTAGTCATGCTTGTCCAAAGAGTGTTGTCCATGACTACTGCATGTTCCAAACCACTCATGCTTTCATATTAGATAGATCTTTACTGTTTCATGTTGTGTTAATACGAGAATGTGTATGCTTTCATATTAGATACATCTTTACTATTTCATTTTGTGTTAATACGAGAGTGTATAACTAACTGTTCACCAAAATCATGTCTACACGCGTCAGGGTTAAAATGTCCCAAAATGTACAGTAGGGGGATATGACTAGTTGTCACTTTTTCCTACCTGAGTTATATGCTATCAAAGTCGTTGTTGTTGCCTACTCGCTTTTAGCTTATAACATTTGTTTCTTTCAAATTGTTTTCAACCTATTTCTCGCTCAAATTTTCTAAAATATTTCTCATACTTGACTTGTTCGTTGGGTTAGAACAAGTGCAACACAATTGTTATCTCACTATTGCAAGAGTGCGAATGTGGCACATTGGTGACATTGCACACCAGCCATCGTCGTGTCATTGAAACTTCTATTTGAAGTGGAAAATTAGTAAGTTTCCACATGCCTTGTGATTCCTATATCACTTCCGCTTCAGTTATGATGTAGTGTTCATATTTGTCCTTAACATTGTGATAAGGATATTGAGTACCGAAGTTGGAGGTTTGATGTGTTTTACACTTTTGGGTAAGTAGGATGTAATGGCTCAGGTCTACCGTTAGCAGATATTGTTCTTTCTCGACTTTCCCTTTCACTTTTCCTCAAAATTTTAAAAATGCGTCTGCTACGGAAAGGTTTCCACACCCTTATAAAAGGTGTTTCGTTCTCCTCCTCAACCAACGTGATGGGAATAGGACTGTATATCGAAAACTGTTATCGCAAAGACTTGAGGTAAGTGATGTTCCTATTGAAACTCAATTTGTTTTGTTTGCTGTCATGTTTTATTGATCATGAAAAATATATGTTTAGGGACTGCCTTGTGGTTTTTGAATACAATGAGTGTGGTAAGGGTTATAGGTTATGTGTATTCGGTAACCAACTACTGTATCTGGTAGTCAACTCCTAATTGTCAACCACTAATGGTCAGTCATGAGTGATTGTTGAAAAAGATTTTTAGAGAATATACCCGTGTATTTCGGATAATTAACCACGAGGTTCCCTTAATTTCGATTGATCAACTTTAAGATGGTTTTGCATATCCTATCTTAAAAATTATTTTGAGGTAAGGGCAAGATTGTAGCACGGAAGTGAAGAGAATGATGAGCAAGACTTTGAGAATAATTTTACTGAAATATCTTTTAGCATATTTTCATATATTGTAAAGTATAAATTTTTAGTGTTAAGTGACGTTTCTGATCGATACGTGTGAAAAATTGGGTTGTTACAACTAGTATTCGAGCCTAGTTTTGAAGTTCTATAGACTTCTTACATCGTAAGCTATAAAAAGTTGCTCATGACTAAGCAGTACACCGTTGTCACTTCTGGGTACGTCAAGCTATGTAATAGAAGTTAATTCATTGTCCTTGCTTTGTTGAAGGGAGAAAATGAATTGATATGCATGCCATTAAGGTTATGGAATTTTCCGTTAGGTTAAATGGTAGATTAGGGATTCGAAAAATAATGCCCCTACTTGAAAGAGGGTAGGGAAGGATTGAGAATCGAGGTGGACTTGCAAGGGTTCAAGAGAACCCAACCGCTGAGATGTAGCTCGAGAAAAGTTAGTACAATGTGATATTATGCCCAATCGTAGGAGCTTTTCACCCGAGTCAACTAGACAACTTACGATGATGGAGGTATCACAATCTTTGGTACAAAGAGTTGTGGCATATCTAATTCCAAATGTTGTGGTCTAGAGTATATAGGGCAGGTGGCCCAACCCAACTCAGACAACGTGGATACTTCTCATAAGGGCAAGTATTTTAAGACTACAAACGATGGGACCCAGAGAAATTTGATGGAACATATGGCAATTTAGTGGTGGGTGAATTGTGGCTAGGAGATGAAATATTTGATCATATGAAGTACTTTGAAGAACAAAGGTTGAGTTGTGTTACATCCGTGCTCCAGAAAGATTGACCTGACCTGACCACTTGAGCACAGTTCAAGAAGGCTTTCCTAAGGAAATATTTCAAGCCAGTGCAACAATACAAGTAGGAAGATAGAATGTTTCATCATGGGCTTGAGATCTGAGGTTCGATGAGCTCTGTATGCTCGTGAGCTATCTAACTATGCCACAACACTTCGACCGGTGGAGACTGATCGATGACCTTAAACCCCAATGGATTTAAATTATTAAGATGAAATTAAGTTATTTAATTTTTTTTTTTCCTTCGAGTTTCTTTAATCTTCGTCTCATCGTCAGTCGAGAGCTTTTCACACGCCTCAGGTAGGCTTAGGTCTCATTACGTTTAGCCCATCCTTTGAACCTAGGTTAGTTCGAGCTAAGTTTGGGCTTGAGCTCAATCCTTTATCTGGCCCAACTTTTCCATAACGGTTTGGGCTAATTTAGGCTTTCGGCCCATATGAGTTTAGATTTTCTTGAGCCTAGCCCATTTATTTTAATGAACTTAGAATCATTTGGGAGCCGGGGCTAATTATTATTTGATTTTGGGTCGAAAAATGCAAACACACGTGATATGTTTCATGAATGGTGGAACCTGTTTTTCATGATTGCTCGTTAGACTCTTTTTTTTTTTTTTTTTTTTTTTTTTTTTTTTTTTTTTTTTTTTTTTTTTTTTTTTTTTTT